CAGAAAAAGAAGAAGCATTAAGAGTCGAGATGTGAAGGTAGAAAAGAAAAGCTAGCTTGTGCTTTTAGGATAATGAGATAACACCCGAAAAGCCGCGATGTGAAGGTAGAAAAGAAAAGTTGGCTTGTGTTTTTAGGATAATGAGATAACACCCGAAAAGTTGACATAAGAAGTTGGCTGGTGAAGTAACTCTCGAAAAGCTGGCATGAGAAGTTGGCAGGTGAAGTAACTCTCGAAAAGTTGGCATGAGAAGTTGGCAGGTGAAGTAACTCTCGAAAAGTTGGCATGAGAAGTTGGCAGATGAAATAACTCTCGAAAAGTTGGCAAGAGAAGTTGGCAGGTGAAATAACTCTCGAAAAGTTGACATGAGAAGTTGGCAGGTGAAGTTTGCAGCCGTTTTTAGAAGAAGAACCCTTCGCGATGCTTCCGGGAAGAATTGGAGGCGGCGCAGACACAAGGGTCAACCATTAAGATAAGATAGCATAGCCGCATTTCGAAGATTGTGCGTTCTGTTTACTGCAGCACGTTCTGGCTACTACCAGGATTGTCAGCTGCTTATTGCCCAGATCGAAACAACACACACACAGGGTCAACTTATATAATATAACACGTGTTTGCAAGAATTGATCTGTTGGTATACAGATGCCAGTAGAATACCATCATGGGTCCAGGCCGAGCATCTCGAGGAGAGGCAGAAGTTGATTTGGCTTGCTTACAGGATGCTGGAAAGGAAGGACTGACAGGCAATTCGGATTGAGAAGTGTGGCAAGACGATCGGCAGTAAGCTGTTGCTTCCAATGTTGCGTTGGGGTTTTGACAGGCAGCACGTGCGCTTCACATCACGCAGAGCATGCGAGGTTTGAGTTTCGACCGGCACCAGCCTGCTTTCTGCAGCCAGCCAGCACAGTCAAAACAAGATCGCGCAGTTGCGCAGATGCAGTTGACGCAGGCTATGCTTGCCACCTCGCGCGCGTTGCAACTGGCAACGGAGTCGCGCTCGAGCTCAGGCTTATTGGACTTCCAGCTGCCTGAAGAAGAGGAAGCCGTGAATAATCTAGCGCCTGACTCTGCCTCGCGAGCAAAAGAAGAGAGCGCTCTACTAGTGACCGAGCACTACCCCGTGGCCACTCACTCACTCACTCACTCACTCACTCACTCACTCACTCACTCACTCAGTCATTATCGCATGGCCACCAGAGAGCCATTCCCTTAAAAAATGCGCATGTGGGGTTGTCCGGATTGTGTTGTTGTTGTAAGGCGCGCGCTTCGGCTGGCGCGTCGTGGTGGACACTCAGCGCCAACATGAAGACTGTGATGGAGCTGTGCGTCCGGGAAGCTTTGCACCCGTGCTGGTGCGTGTGGGAGACGGATCAATCTCTGCTGTGCCTGGAGTCAAAAAACAAGTCGCAGCGCTTGCGCAGCCATGCCGCGTAAACAGCCCGGCTGCATAATTACACATTTATCGCGCGCACTGTATTTATGCAACTGATGTGTGTACCTATTCTCACATATATATATATACACACTATTATTTCTATTTCATAGAATCAAGCATTTTCTTTTGCCGAAATGCGCGGCTCAGCCGCGCAATCACGTGAACCAACTGCACTCCAACCAAACTCAGAATAATCAAAATAGACACACACACATAAGCGTCACCGTTTACGCGTGAAAACCAATTTTGTTTCAATAACCATGCTCTTAACAGCTTTTTCCAAGCTAACATGCTATTTGCAAAATTCCCATTTTCTGCTAACTAGAATAGCTAAAAAACTAAAAACAAGCAAACTGATAAGTCAAGTTAACTGCTGCTAACTGGTATAGTAGACTATAACTGCATAACTGTTAACGAACCCATGTTGTAAGGAAGGTGGTCTCCTTAAAAAAGTTGGCGGCCATTGCAGCTGGCAGCGCCGCACAGCTTTGCCGTCGGCGAGCGCCAGTCCTGCGTTTCAGAAGCGAGCACGACGGTGAGGTAGCCTTCCTCTATGAAAGGGTGGCAGAAGGCCTCCATCTAGATTCCGAATCAAAAAACTTCACTCGCCAGCCAAAGTGATAGAGGTTCTGCAGGTTGTAGAGGAAGGCCTCAATCTGGAGGGCCCGCTTGAAGCCTGTCGCGGTATATAGAATGGTGTAGTGGTTGCGTGCGGGCATCGTCGATTGACACTCACCCTTCCTGGCATTCAAGATCTTCGGGAGAGGCGCAATGTGTTGGCATGGTCCCTCGCAGCTGTTGGCTGCGCTCTTCAACTGCATATTTGACTTCCACAAACGGCTGCGACCGAGACTGTCCTGGGCTAGGGTGTCTCTGAGCTGAGCACATCAGCGTTGCCACGGGATAGGGGCCATCAGCTGTAAGTCTGGCGGCGGCGGCGGTTTTGGCGGTGGTGGCGGTGTTTGCCGCCGCTGCTGGGCTGCTGTTGCTTGCTGAGTTGACGATGGCCGCCGCGAGGGCGCTGCTGATAGCTGAGGGGATGCTGCTGCTAGCTTTGCTATCAACTCAATGGCGGCGGCTTAATTTTGGGCGCAGGTTTCATGGGTTTGCCGCTGGGTGTCCCGCTGCTCCGCTTGGGCGGCGGCGGTGAAGCGGGCGCCGCCCGCCGCGGTTGGGCAGTAGTCTGAGCGGCGTCTTTGCCTTCTTGCCGGGTGACTTGCCGGCAAACTGTCGGCAAGACGCCCGGCAAGTCATCTTGCGCCGTCTCTTCATCGTCGTCTTCCTCTTTGGCCGACACCAAGTCTTCGAGGTCCTCGCCGATGTCGTCCCCCAATCAACCGCACTGTCAACATCAGACACATTTTTCTCACTGGCTCATTGTCAGAAGGGCACGGGCGCTTCTGTTTCCCTGACATTTCATCCAGAACCAGTTGCTGACATTGAGATCGGCTGTAGTGTCTGATCCGCCCTTTCCCGTTGTTCTGCCCTCTGCGCCTCATCTTTCATTGCATTGTCGATCTTGATGGGGGAGGCTAAGGGCCAGGGCAACTTGTGACGTTGAAGGACGACTGGGCCAGTGTCATCATCGGATTCCTGCTGCCAAACTGAGCTGACAGTGATCAGTGTCTTAACGGATGAATTTTGAGTTGAACAAGAAATTGTAGCCTCGAAATTGAACTGGACAAGGCTGGTTGAACTATTCAAATTATAGTAAACACACAAGACAAGTTGGAACCCAGTCCTTGCAAAGCATCACTTTTGGCGCAGCATTCATTTTAGCGATCTGGTCCGGAAACTTCCTTGCTGTGTGCTGAAAGAACTGTTCACAGCCGCTGTGCAGTTCCTTCCTTCGAGGATCAGCTTGCTCTTGCCACTGCCGCTGCCGGGTGCTCGCAATGCCATGAAAACACCGTCGCACCAACCCTGAAGAATACTATAGGCTTGGCTTCTCTTCTTTGTCGAAGAGTGTGAGGAACTGTGTGGCATTGAGGAGGTTCTTGTCAAATTTGGGATATTCCCGGACGAGAAAGGGCCTGTGCTCGAAGATGCGGAGCTTTCCACGGTACACGCGGCGCCTGTACGTTTGCAACCAGCAGCATCAGGTTCTCCAGGAATTCCTCAACCAGGGGAGCTCCACCAAGCACCGGCCGGCCATCAATCGTTGGCTGCCCCCTCCACCAATCACCAGTCATGGCAAGTTTGCCAAGGCGCGGCCGCAGGGCAACAAGGCCGGAGGCTGCGCCGCGGCCTCCGTCCACAAGGCTTGTTTGCCATGAATCCAAAACGCGGCCATCGTCGTAGCCTGGGTAGCCGCCTTGCCACCCTCCCCAGTCCCAGTCTCCACTTTTCGCCGCTCCAGTTGTTACCGCCCCCGCCCCGTTTGCCCTTGCCCCAGCCACCGACCAGGGGCGAAGTTATCGGCCTGACTAGTTATTAGGTCTTAGTTTCTACCCACGATGATGACGGTACAGCGCACAGTCAGCCTCTCAGGTGTCTATTTTTTTAGGGCGTTCAAACAAAAACGGTTCCCGATGTCGACGTGGCAATCCTGGTCCGTCAAAGCCGCGCCGCTCTGCTCGATGATGGGTGCAGCCTCAGCGCTTTATGTTGGCAAGGCTGGCGAGAGGCACTCTTCAAGAAACCGCTCAGGACAATTCACTGTGAGTGTGCGGACGATACGTTTACTCATAGCACGCTTCAACGACTCTGGAAAACTCAAGGCTGGGGCTTGGGGCCCTACTTTGCACTGTATTTTGAAAAGGTAAGCGCTATGAACTACGCACTGATGCGTTTGTCAGGCCTAAAGGCCGAGGTGCGGAGCAGCTCGAAGCTTCGTCCCAGCGCAACCAAAGGGACAGCTTCGTCCCAAACCCTCCTTTCCGCCCTCCCTTCACGCCTTGGACCAAGCACGTAGCGCAGTTTGTTTGCCGCATGTCAGCGTAACGCACATGGCGCAAGGACTCACAAGGACTCACCAGGACCCAACACCGTCGCGAGTTTACATACTCAGTCATCATGAAAAATCAACATCTGGTAGCGCCACTCTCCAGTTGAAGCAAGGCTCAATCAGGTGCCTCACTAGTGTTGATGCGGCTTTGGAGCTCTGTAGCCCCAGAAGACAGAGCTTGTTTCTGCGCAACTCCAAGATGCTGCAAAAGCGGAACAGCTAGTTCGCGAACAAACAAGGACAGCTGCAGAGCCATGACGTCGTCGACATCATTCGTCGACCCCGGCTTTCCGCGACTCAGGAATTGTAAACAAAAGGTACGACATTCGCAAACTTTGAACTCCTCTACACGTTTGATTCCCGTTGGCTCTTTTGCCCACGGCCAACTGAACGAACAGCCACGGCAAAGTGGTTCACCCAAGAAGCCCACTTCGCAAGGAGGTCATCCCAACGGAGTCAAATCCCAGGAGAAATTCCTGCGTCCCCAACTAGCTCTCTCCTCTTTTGAAATGGGAATCATGCGCAAGTCCCATCCAAACATTTCACCACGTCAGGGAAACCTGCCAAATCAGCAGTAAGCTGAAATGTTCCCCCGCCCTTTCCGGCAAGCCGCGTCGCCTCCACATCCATGACCCACTGCTCTTCCAGCGGCCGTGTCTGTCAGCCCCGGAAACGGAAACCAAAGCAACACTCACCAGGCGTCTCCTGACTGGAAACACCCAGATGAAGAAAAGTTGCTGAGAGGCATCTCTTGCTTCTAGTTGACAGCTAAGGAGTCACCTTTAAGAAACAAATGCAATCCAAAAAGCACCAGGAAGGGACATTTGATTCTGACTAGAGTCGCCAGGACAGGCATCTCAGTTGCGGGAAGTGCTGTGAATTTATGCGGCTCTTGCCCATAGGGGGAAAAGAACGATCATTTTGAAACGCGCAAGCTCCCAGTCCCATGTCTCTCCAAGCCGCTGCAACCGAGGAAAAGTTTTTGGGCATGAGAGTTTGGATACAGCTTCCCAGGCGACTTGCTGGCAATGAGCTCTGCATCAGTGGCTACCACACCAACTTTGGACGTGTGCCAAGTGGGACCTGCGCCCGCATGATTTTAAAGGGCAACGTCCAACACTCATTTTTAACACAATCAATGGCGAATCCGGCAAGGCCCAAAACTCAAAAAATCCCCAACTACACGCTGGGGGCTTCAGACAAGCTGCCACAAACATGATCTTCTATAATGGGGTGCCTGTTGGTGTTGAGCCCGGCATGCTACGCCTGGCGTGGCAGCATCATAGAGGCGCCCCGCCCCCAACAAAAAACAAGTGAGGGCTTGCCTCAAAGCAACGAGGGTTGGGGTGGCCAATGGGAACGTCGAGAAGCACTTCAAGCCTCTTGTGGCAACAACCTAAGACCTATCTTAACCTTCGGCCATCGGCACGTTGAGAGGCTGGGAGCAAAGGAGTCTGCATCAAATGTTCAGGCAGCGACCGGCCCTCCGCTGTCCTTCTCAGAAGCGCAAGGGGTCTGGTCTCCCACAATGCGTTTCCATTAACTTGCTCATGTATTGCCTTTGCTGCGCTGGCTTGTTCGGCCTTCGGCGCGTTAAACTTGATTTAGGTTCGGGCCCCCTGCCCCCTGTTGTGTCGCGCAAGGGCGAGGCAGCTTCGGGTGATCCATCACAGCATTCTGTTTGGGAATGCGTCACGCATCAACCAGAGGACTTGCTTTCCTTCCTGGGCGGTGTTCCGAAGACGCCAATTTACGCTCTTGCTCATGGAGGCCACAGAAACACACTGACATGGGCTTGTCCTTGCTGGTTGGCTGAGTGTGAAGGTTTTGACAAAGAACACTCCCCCAAAACAAGAAGCAAGAACAAAAGAACAGCAAGAGCATAGCAAGCGCAGGAAGCACCCCCGTCTTTAGCAAGAGAAGCAGCGAGCAAAGCGCCAGGTTTCCGGGGCCTCGGTGCCCGAGGGCAGCAGCTCTGGCCTCACTGAAAGCCTGGCGGCCCAAAAGAAAGCCTATTGGTTCCAGCAACCACGACGTGTGACCACTCCACAGCCATGCCTAAACTTGGGCGTCTTTTTTGCGGATTGATAATTATAAAGACAATTACACCAGCATAGACCCCAGATAGCGAAACACGTGCCAACGATTGCACGCCAGCAACTCTAACCGCACTGCCAGAAGAGCACCTCAAGCAAGACCCCGAACAGCATCCCAAAACAGCACCTCCACAAGAATTCCCAGATTTCATGCCTTCTAGCACCCTGCCGTCAATCTCGCAAAAACACACCTGGCCTTCCCCAAAGCAGCAACTGTGCCAAAACAGCACCTGCGCTAGCACGCCAAACTGCATGCCCCCTCCGCTCGCAAAACGCGCCCACGCCCGTCACCAGCTCCCCAAAACCACCCCCATCAGCACCCCAGACTGCATGGCCACCAGCACTCTGCCATCAATCGCAAAAGTGCGCCCGCGCCAGACAGCACCCCCAAACGGCACCTCCCAAAGCACTCGGCCGTCGATCTCGCAGAAATGCACCCGCGCCGTCACTGGCGCCTCAAGCAGCGCCCCACGCAGCGCCCGAAAACAGCACCTGCACCAGCACGCAATCTGCATGCCCAAGCACCCTGCCGTCAATCTTGCAAAAGTATCACCAGCAAACAGCACCGCAATCACATTGCCTTCTTTACTAGAAGTTAGAACCCCTATAGCTTTCAGCTATCTGGGGAAATAGGTTGCTGTGCTTTTGTTGTTAAACAAAGCGTTCTGTTAACTCTGGCTCGCTTGCTACTCAAGCTTTCCGAAGAAGTTGATGAAACAGTTGAAACACATAAATCATGCTTATGTCGAGGAGTGTGTTTAAAACAACGAACCGCTCCAGCAAGATACGCTGCGACCGGCAGCAGTGCACTATTTCAGCACATGTCCTCGAATGTGTGAAATCGTACCTGTTGGCTGATCTTCGAATCGCTCGAGTCATTGATGGTGTCTCTTGGACATCCGTGTCTCAAGGTGAGTACAACAAATTCGAGACTGCAAGGCAAAAGGTTGCACAGGAAGGCATTGAAAGGGAGTGGATGTTCTCCGCCCCAACTCCGTTTGATGCGAAATCGATTTCTCAATCCATAGGCACTAGAGGCATGAGTGAAACCCCCAGACGTGAAGTTGTCTGTCGGTGTTGGGATTGGTCTGGGCACATCGGACGTAGCGGTCTGGGGTGTGGTGGAAGGGGGAAACCTCTGCGAATTTGAAACATGACCCGTGCAAGTTCTGTTTGGGTTTGGCCTGGACCTTCTTACACCTACCCGTTTCGTGTTGCCAGCTGCGTTGTGTGGTTCGCGTGGCTGAATTGAGGCATCCTCGCGGTGGCAGGCAGGCGTGCCTTGTTGGAGTCTGTGTGATCCAGAAGGCGCTGTGCAGAAAAAAGTCGTTCCACAACGCCCGCAATCTGCCGCGAGGTCTCTTGGTTATCGGGGCAGGCCGGTCCAGGCTTGCCTCAGAGCCTCGACGCACGGTCTTGTTGTGGCCGTCGCATGTGAGGAACTGCTCTTTTTGAAACCTGGCATGTTCATGAACCGGTGTCGGGGCGGGAGGCTGCCGCTTCTGCCCACAGGCATCTGCTGCTGCCACCTTGCAAAGAGATGTCATCCCTTGCAATCAGCCACGTAAGGCTACACCACCAGCTCCGCACCAAGTTCCCAGACTTCCCGCAAAACTTCCTCTGGCGCCTGAGCGACTTTGGCATCTACCCGCACCCCCCCCCCCATGCCCGTCGATTCCGGCGACAGCCCAACGACCTTCAAGCAATTTTGGCGGGAAATGAGGCGGGACACGGTCCAACTTCCTCACGGCGGACTAGTGGACCGTGGCCACGATCAAGGGCATCCTTCTGTGGGCCTCCTCGCGCGACACAAAGCGGCATTCGTGAGAGAGTTCGTCCTGGACGCCGACGCCGTCGTTGGCCGGAGTGTGGTGGGCGAACCGAAGCCACGCCAGCGGTCGGCGTGGAGGGTGGAGACGCCGCGGGCGTGGTAACAAGCGTCCGCCTTGTCACAGAAGGCGTCCGGTGGCCTTGTTGGCGAAGGTGACGGTAGCAATCTCTCCTCAACGAACTCCAGACGAAGGTTCTCGCAGCGGAAGGTGGATTTAGGCGCTGGTGTTGCACCAGGGGTGCGCAAACCTGATTGTTGGACAAGATGTGGCCCTCGCTGACAGCGGTTGGTAGGATGTGGCCCTCGAAATCCGGGTAATACTCATCGATGTCCGCCAGGGTGAAGTTGGCCATGGCGAGCTGAAGGTGAAGGCGGGAATGTCGGTATACAAATTTCATGGCCAAAATGGCTACGGTATGCAACACTGCAGTCAAATCGTGCAATCAATCCATGAGTCGGTGCTCGGTGTTCAATTCGAGTCACTTGCGTCGACTGTTGTTACTTTTCACGCACGTGTTGATCGCAACATGAATGGTTAAACAAGTATAACATCGATGAATATGTCTTCATAAATACCTTAAACATTCGGAACACCACGCTCTTTTTGTTTGGGTGGGGGGGGGGGGACTGCTAATCTTAAAAATGCAAACCGAAACGCTGGGATTTTACGTTCTGGACAAGGCCATTCCTTGAAAACCAACATGGATATTTAAAACCTACAGCATTTAGAAGCAAGGGGCCCCCTAAAGTCTCTCTCTGACAAAGGTGCCCATCCGCGGTAGCGTGACCAAGTGTGAATCTTGGGGGTATTGCGCTCTCCTTCCATTTGTATTGCTGTGCCTGTCACCATTTCCCCTCGAAAATGACAAGGGGAAATGATTTGTCTTGAGCGAATCAATGCACTTTAGGGGAACCCCGGACTGTCCCACACTAGGGACCAACCCAAAAAGGCGTTCAAACCACCGCAAGCAGGGTTCTCCTAACTCAAAGAAGGATCTACGGGCTCCGCGAGTCTCATCTTTAGGGTAAGGGGATCGTTCAATCTTTCTGCTGAGGTTTGGGAAACGGCCTCCCCAGTTCGGGGATCACTTTTAGCTGGAAACCAACCAAACAAAATGAAACAAAGGTGCCGCTGAACAAATCAAGGAAACAGGGCTGGGGCCGGATGGGACACCCATCTGCCATGGAGCTTGCCGTTTTTTCAGCCTCTCCTTTTGATGGGTCAGCAGGAATCCAAAGAAACATCTCTCTTTTGAGACAAACCCTGCAGACTCTATCTCTCACAAAGGTCGGGATCCTTGTTGCCATTGTTTGCTGTACGCATGAAACTGCGTCAAACTTACAAAGTTCCAGACGGCTACATATTGGTTTCCGTTAGATGGCCTTGCTTCTTGCACATTCCCACATCCGACTTCTGCAGTGTTCATCTTTAGCCTTTGCGGTCCCTCCTTCTCTCTGCAAGTTTCCTTGTCTGTCGACAACCAAGGTATCACGCCGGAAGACTGCAAACAAAGTGGCTTTCATTGGTTGCTCTAAACTGGCCGTTCTTTCTCGCAACAAGTTCACAATCTACTCTGGCACATCCGCTTGCATGCAGTGCAAGCGGAAACGAATCTTGCGCAAATGTTTAAGTGTCGGTTCTTGTAGCGATTTCTGATGGCCACATCGGGTTTCTTTACCCGTTTATTCAACACGGCCCTTTAAAGTGCCGTCACGATTGCCTTTCAAGGCGGGTCAACTTGGCTCGACATTGGGTCTTGGATGCCAGTGCAACGGGATTGAACACATGCGCCACACGCTTTTTTTGGACGGCCCTCGCGCTCTGCGAGGGCTGAACTGAATGAGGGATCAGCCTCCAACGTCAACTCAGCAGCGAGAGACTATCTTGTCAACTTGGTCAAACGGATGGTGATTCAAATAGCTTCCAAGAGAAACATAGCAGGCTGGTCTATGCAAACAAACTAAGACCTGAAGGCTATCACTAAAAGAGGCTGACGGCATTTCCCAAGAGTTGCTGAGTTGCTGAGTTAGGGTGCTGGTTGGCAAGGCAGGGAGTTCGCGTCGCCAAAACTGCTGCCAGCTCCACATGTCCAGCTCGTCCAGCTCAGCTGGCAAAAGGCACCAGGCGTGGCTCTTGAGGCAAAGATCTCGTACCTTGGATGCCTCATGTTTGATCATTCTTGATTCAAGGGCTTGAAAAGGCATACCCTTTTTTGGTCAAAGCCCAAAACCTATCAGCAGAATCGCTTGGAAACCACAGCCCGTCGAATGACCCAGGTTTTGAGTTGGGCTCGCGGTCCGAAGCGCTGGCACGGAGCCCCATATTGTCCCAAGAAAACAAAATGAGTTCCGGAGCCCCCTGTCCCAAAATGAGTTCCCTTCAATCGTAAGCTACCCATTTTGGGCCGACTTTGTGGCCCCGCCCATTGCACGCACGTCCAGATGCGGTGAAAACGCTGGCGGCCCGCGCCTAAATCGTCATCGATTCCATTCGCCTGACGGGATCCAAATTCAAACAGCCGAACTATGCTTTGGCAAATTCAAACAGCCGTAATGTTCCAAAGGCAAACGGGACAATGCCCACGGAACCAAACCCGAAGTGCGACATGAGGCATGAGGCATGAGAGGGGTGAAGCTGGATCGTGTCGTGACAAATGAATCCAGATGGTAAACATCATGTTTGACGAATGACGATCCAACTAATGCGGCTTGACAACGCAAGGCAGAGCGCAAAGGACACATCCCAAACACGTCTCGTGCTGTCTTGCTCCAAATCTAAGTTGTTCATCTGACTCCCATGTTTCTGCACTGCTACTTCTCTCGGAGTCGACCCTTGTGGTGATATATTTCCGCCATTCCTCACCCAGCCTCTAGGTGGCTTCCGAGGGAAGCAACCCTGTTGGCAACTGCCTGCTTTGTCAAACTTTTGCAGCCACCTCTCTGCCTTGGCTGTCCGACCCTCCCGCCCTTGCTTTTGTCAGCCTTTGGCCAAGTTGATGAAACTGCTTACAAGGTAGCACCTAATTTGCCAACGAGGCAAATGACCCGAATCGCGTGGTCTGTTTGTGGAATTACAAACTTCAGAATGCGGACAACTACAGTAAGAGTTTTTGATGTATGACGAGAGCGCGACCCCCCATGTGTGCCCTGGTCACCTTTTGTGGGCCAGGCCATCTCTCGCGAGCGTCTGTCGCAGGGTGGCGCTGTTGAAAGATAGCACGCCATGGTTCCCCTGAGCCGAAACCCCGACAAAGGGGTCCATGACCATCCCGACGAAAACTGTTTTTGCTTTTGACCAAGGAACATACTGTGAAAGGGGGGCCGGCCGGTTGCAACACCCCACCTGCTGAAGAGCCTCCTGCAGGTACCCCTGGCGCCAAAACTGGCATCTGGTGACTATTTCAGTGTAGAGATCTACCATCACGAACTATTGACTTCAATGAACATGCAAGCGCTAAAAGTCATACCTTGCAATGCAAGTCTTGCACGGCGCCTACGAATCATTCAAACACTTGACACATGAATTATAGATGCGAAGGATTCGTAGGAGGCCAGGTTCCCTCAACCAAGTCAAACACTGCGAAAACTCCTGTCCTGCAACACCTGCTGACTCTCATCAAAGCAACTCGGATGAAACTCCGTCCTTTCTTTGCAAATGTGTGTAAATAAAAAGAACCACTGTCAGGACGATCCCGGGAATGGGTGTTCCGACGGGGAGATCTCAGAATATGGGTACAATCAAAAACAACTCCAAAATGAATGCGCTAAAGCCACACCCCAACTGTCTCAAACGGGGCCGCTGATTCGTCAAAGCCGCGAAACAACCAGGGTTTAGCAGCGGCCCCTTAGACGGCGAAGGGGCAAACCTGTCCAACCGATTGGCCAATACAGCCAGAGAGGTTCTGCTGGTGGGAAACTCAGCAAGGCAGCCAGCAAGGCAGAAAGCTATTGGCCCATGTTACCTCCCAGAGAAATTGCTTTTGTTCTTTTGGGCGACTGTCTTTCCGATGGGCGCCAATGAAACAAACTGCCACTTTGGGAAGTCAACAAATAGGTTGGCAATTGAGGGGCCCCTGAACAACCCCGATGCACCTGTCTGCCCAGTTTGATTTACAAGTGCCACATTGGTTGGTCAGCCCCAACCCGCCGGATTCGATTTGCAAGTGTCATCTTGGTATTGAGGGTGAACAAGGCTTCCTTCAACATCGAAAGGGAACTCACTTGGACGTGCCTTCCTGCGAACAAGGAGAAACGCGCGAACCCCAGCTTGACAGCAGAACATAGTTGTGCGTACGCGTGCAGGCCTGCAGCAGCTCGATGTCATGGTAGCAGAGCTCCAATTTCTGGAGGAGGTGATCCTGAGTTTGACTCACCTACTGGCAGTCCAAAAGGACCCTTCCAAACTGACTCATTCGCTTGTTGGATTGCGGCAAGCCAGAAAGGCATCGACTTCCAAATGCTGCCTCAAACAAAGGCACTTGCCCCTTTCTTGCTGCTTGACTCTAAAGGCAACCTTCGGTAAGGAAGCAACGGGCCCAGCTTATCTAAGTTGCAACCCGGGCGACGGCGACCTGATGGCGATGAGCCATCAAGTGACCCAATCCCACGTCACAAAAGATCTAGTGGATATAGTCTGGATATAGGGATGAGCTTTCAAAGACGATTTAACTAGGCAAATAAGATATCATTCGCACTGTCTGGGGCGCGCGCACGGCAGAGTGCAGTGCGGCGCGCAGGTTCAGTCAACCCATCACTGTGGACGGGCCAGGTCATTTGTCGTGCGAATAGGCCGCGCGGCCGTAAAACAGAGCAGGGCGGCCTCAAGACCCTGAAGCGCCCGCCGAGAAACGGAAATGGAAAGACCATTCTGCGATGGTCCCACCCGAAGGCGGCTCAAATTGAGACCGCGGATTTCCCCGATGTCCCAATTGCACAGGGAACCAAAAAGGCGAAAGAAGGAACGAACAACCCTCAAGTCGCCAGCAACCGTTGATTGGGTTCGGGCGTAAGACGAAAAGGCTGAGGCATCTTTCCAGAGCTCCCCTTGTTGAGAGGACACCAAAACCGGGAAGGGCACATGGTCATGCTTCAGGGCGAAAACAAGTTCCAACCAGGAAAGATGGATGGGATGCTCAGCTTGTTGGTGCTCAGTGATGAGCCATGCAGCGACCTTGGCGGTGAAATCCAGCCCGAATCGCTTGGTGAATTCATGCCCCTGTGCGCAATGCGCAAAGTTAGGTGGAATCTGTGCCACCCAATCTGTGCATGCGATGGCTCTGTGTACAACGGGGCCGACTTCAGTAGTCGAGGGGTCATCCTCATCTTCATCTCCAGCGGGTTGACGGCGTTGGGTTGCTTCTGCAATATCCAGGTGCAGCCTCTGAAGTTTACCCAGAGAGGCTTCCATGTGGTGTTGGGCTGCAGTGAAAGCATCAGTGGAGCGGTGATTGTTGGCGGCTTTAGCCGCAAGGTCAGCCTGGTCGTTCCAGTGACTGGACCACGAGGCAACCGGATCGTCACACTGCGTCGGATCTTGATGGCCAGGAATATGCCGCACAAAAAGCCGGGCTGGAAGCTCATCCAGTTCATGACGTAGCAACCGCCACAAATCCTGATTTGATCCGGGTGAATCACTGGGATCGGCCTGAAGGCGCCATGTGCCACGCGCAACATATGCCGAGTCGGTCCACACAAAGCCGGTTGCTCCACATTTGCGGACCCACTGTGCTGCAGTAACCACGGCGGTGAGCTCGGCGCGGTTGATGGTTTGTGGCATACCTGCTAGGGCATCGCAACAAATGGGACGGCCATGTGTAGCTGAGATGACAGACCATCCTGCAAGGCGTAGGTCCGGCAGTGGCTCAATACTGCAAGAACCGTCTGTAAAAATGTGCACCTCTTCGCCTGGATTTGCCAAGAACTCAAAATATTCTCCCGTGATTGGAAGGGCATGTAGCAAAGTTTTGACCTGCCGGAAAAGAGGATTGCGAGGGGGTAGAAGGTGCTCTCGCACGCAATGCGGCACTTCATGCCAGAGTTGAAGCGCCTCAGGATGTCGATCATGAACATGGCGGAGTGCATTGCAAGATAGGCAACGGTGAGCGGCTGCATCAGGCATCCCACAGCAAAGGCCTGAGTTGAGGTTGTCATACTTGCTCTGTTGGGCGGAGGTGTAAAATGATCCTTCTCGAAGGGCATTGACCCGAGCCGTCTCCAAAGCAGAAAGGGTCCGAACTGAATGTTGACAAAGCGCATGATCAACCCCATGGAGTCCAGCAAAATCTGGACGGTGAGCGACTCCGTGTGCGATGAGCTGGTGCCATGCGTCCTCCAAGAGGCTGTACAAACCCGCATTGGAAATGTCCAAAAGATTGTGCAGTACGTCATCGTGGTCGATGAGGAGAGGAGGTAGTTCGATGCGCCATCCAATAGGACCGAGTTGACGTAGCAACGTTGAGTGGTCCAGCTCCCAGATTTCCGGTGAATCCTGCCATAAACTCACTCCAGGTGTCCAACAGGGATGGCATCTTAGTCACGACTCTGCGAAAGTCTTGAAGAACAGTCCAAAGCTGGTAGAAGCCCGGGTCCAGCAATGTTGTGGTATGCAACAATCCCAGCCGAATACCCGGATTGGCACCAGGCTTGGCGTGGCCCAAGGCCTTGACGGCTGCGGAGCGCAATTTGCTGAACATGCGCAGTACCCAGGTCGGAAATGCAAGCTGAATGAAAGATCCGTGGCCAAAGGGCTTGGTAGACAACCAAGATCTTGTTGTGGCCGTGCATGTTGGAGTTCCGTAATTGCTGCCAGCATGGACGTACTCCCGCAATGATTTGGTCATGAAATGAGGTTCTCCGGTGCTTGCCGTAGGTCATGAGGCCACCAAGGTCGCGCTCCTGGACAGAGACTCTGTGCTGCAGTGATTGTAGAGCCCGACGGTCTTTGGGTTGTAGCGCCCAAGCATCATACGTTTTGTCCTTGTCGATGGACAGCTGGAAGAGCTCGAGGAAAGATTCCTGTGTGATGATCGAGGTGAGCAGGTCTCCCAGGGTGAGCGCAATCTGTTCGATGTTGTCGACAAAGGAAATGCATACAGATGCCGGGGCGTACACGGCCTGATAACGGTGAAGGGCCATGCTGATGAAGGTCATCGCAACACAGCTCAGTGCGCATCCTTCACAGTAGCCATTGTTTGACTGAAGGGGAGCCCCGACGGTATCCCTGAATAGGTCATGCCATGCCTTGGTAAAGGATCTCGGTAGTCCAGCATGATGGGCTAGGGCCTGAACATGTCGACGTGGCAAATGATTGAACGCCTTGCGGATGTCGCTGACATACCCCAGCAGTGGACGATCTTCTTGGCCGCACAATTCGATCATGGCTTGGATGGGAAGCCAGGCTTGTCGAGTTTTGCGATGCGGCAGAAAGCCATAAGTAGGAAGGTCCAGTTGGTCTCCAAGTTGGCGCAGAATCTGACGGGCTCGTGTACTGGACCAAGCTCGGTAAAGCATACTCATGACCACAATGGGGCGGAAGTGGTCAACGGTTGAAGCCTCCGGGGTTTTGGCCAGACCCTTTGCAAGGCCCAGTAGGAGTTGTTTCGGCCAGGCGTGACCATGTTCAACCGCCTGAAAGATGTGGAGGAAGGATTCCTTGTAGTTGTCCGGCATAAGGCGAAGATCCGCATGTCCCAGGCCGTCAGCGCCGCGAGCGGAGTAGTCCTTGAAACGATGAAGGGCTGCCGTCCAATTCTGGAGTTGCAGTGAAGGGAGCCGCAAGGTTCCAGGTGGGATGTAGGCACGAATGAAGGCAGTGATGCGACTCCATGCTTCAGCGGGGACTTCTTGGAGAGTGTTCCACCTTGCCTTCCAGAACGTATGGAGTTCTTGATGGAGTTGCTCTTCTTGCGTGAGGTGCCGTTCACATTGAAGCGTCTGCCCAGGGACCAAGATAAGGTCCGTGTCGACCTCAAAGGTAGTACCAGAGTGGGCGATGACAGTGGCCGGCACTCCATCAACGTGCCAGGTGGCAATTGGGGCAGCTTCAAGCTCTGAGTCGACCAAAATGCGAGTGCCGTCTTCAGAGACGGCCAGGATGGTAGCTTCATCATGGGAGTGGAGCCAGTCCATGGCAGGTTTGGAAACGGGCTGGATACAGCGAAAGGCAAGGTGCTGGCACTGCTGCACTTTCGCACGAGTACATTTTGCTCGTTGCCGAATGTTCCAACTCTCGAAGGAACGAAAGTTGTTGTAGAAGTCGGTGTAAATCTGCTCCAGCATGGAGAGGTTGGGGATGTGGTGTGGTAGGTGTTCTGGACTGCCTTGTAGGCGGTGCTTTCTGGTTGGCCACCACTGAAGGAAATCGGGGTGGAAGCCGGTTGCTGTTTTGATCGCGGTCCAGGTGTCGAGCTGGTAGATCTGGTGATGAATGTCCCGCCCTCCAGCTCGCAGAGCATGTAGTAGGCTTTGCAAGCGTCGAAGCTGCTTGAAATGACGGAGACGGATCGGCCAAGTAGATCTGACGAGGCTTGGACTTCTCCTTGCCGACTGGGACGGGCTGTGGGAGCCTGCCGCTGAAGGCGGATAGGTTGAAGGCGTTGTCCCCGGCCACTAGAGGCAGAAGGTAGACCTTGGCGTTGGTGGGCAAGTAAGTGTTGAAGAACGCTGGATTCCAGAGCTGCACAGGTTTGTCCGTAGCTCTGGGTGAGGTCTGCCTTGTTGAGTGGTGGTGGGTCATCGGCTTGGTCGTAGTAGCTGGGTAGGTCCACTTGCTCCCAAGGTATGCGAGCAGGCAAAGGCCAGGTCCACAAGGTCTCTGTGGTATCAGGTAGAAGAAACTCTCCCCAGAGTGCTCCATGATCAGCAAAGGCTTGTTGGAAGTGGCAGGAGCGGAAGGTAGCGGCCAGCTCCGGCGACAGATAGATCCTGTCGGGCCTGGAAATGCCCCGGTATGTAGGTTGGGGAGACTGGCCCGTGAGACTTTCCTGAAGGTCCTGAATTTCAATCCACCCTGCGTGCCGCCAGAGAAGGAGCTCAGGGAGGTCTGTGTGGTTGAAGTCTCCAGCTATAAACTGGTAGCCTGCGCGGCCCATGATGAGCTCAGAGGAGAGCCGGCTGAGCATGGCGTTGGTGGCCGCCCGTGCAGCAGGCCACGATGGACTTGTGGGCCATCCATATAGGCATGTGCCCGTGACTGAGAGGTTGCCGATGGAGATGAGGGTGGTCATGACCCGGCCAAGGTTCGCCGTCAGGCCACGGCAGGTGTAGCTTCCTGGCTGGGGCGTCTATCATCTGAAGCACTCCGGTCCAGGTCCCTGCGTAGGTGGATCTGGCTCTGACAGGGGCAAGTGCCCCGTGAAGT